TGCACACATGCAAACGATCTTCGAACAGAGAGGCAAATCGGCGATCGAATGTTTCATTCGGACGTAACCGATTTTTATGGGAACGTTACCGGTACTATTTATTTATTTATTAATCGATTTACGCATTTGTTTAGTCATTTACTTATTCATCTATTTACTTATTCGTCTATTTATATATTTATCTGTTAACTTATTTATTTTATAGTCTTTATTTATTTACTCAAGCGGAGAGAATGAACCAAAAAGTGCAATGAAATTCGATAGGGTCGAAAATGACGACGCGTAACAAAGTTATTAGCAATTCAACATTTTTATTATGTTTGTATGGGATGTGTTTGTTATCGGCGGTCATATTTCATGACCAGCAATTATTCGATTGTTCTCAGAAGCCAATACATTTTCTGTTTCTCCGAACGTATTATCTTCTTTTCGCACCGAACGGTTTTTCCCATGAGTGAATGAATCAATAAATCAATAAGTAACTGTTATATCCATATGCGAATGACGAAATTATCTGCTCCGACTAGAAAATTAATTGTTACCTTAATCTAAGAATACGTTTCTAATTTTATCTTTAAAAAGTCACTCGTGTCATTCAACTGAACTTTTCAATTTTGACTCGATTGAATAAAATTACTTCATGACACACAATATTATTACTATATATTTTTATTCATTTATATTTGTATATTATCATATTGTATTTAGATACATTTATACATTGTATCAGATTATATTCTTATATCGTAGAATGAAAATTACGGCAGAAAACTCGATAACTTTAAGGCAAAGAAAAAAACGTGTAAAACAAGAAAACGAATGTACCTGAGAATTTTAATTTGCAAAAGTCGGCGCGAAGCAACCGAGCCAGCGACCGAGATGAAATTTCGCCGACTCTATTGCATAAAAGCAGCCGACGGAGCGGCGGTTCGCATAATTCAGTCAACAACCTGTCGAAGTTCGTCGCATGCGCAGAGATCCGTGTAACGATGACAAGCGAGTTTTCACGCGGCAGAGTCGATGCAAGCACAATATTTGCATATCCCGCGGCGGCCTATTCGGATCCACCTGTCGACACGATCTTATTAACAGCCAACACAGAAGTTGGCCGTTCGTTTCGTTCGAGCGCGCGATTGTGTTTCGCGAATCGATGCCGCGGCAACGATTGAAACCGGCGTCGATTGACGCGTCAACGAATCGAACGTCTAACTTTCTTGTACACTTTCGAACTGATCCACCATCGAAGGAAAAGAATCCTCTTGGAATCTCGTTCGCGCGACTCGCGGAATCGAGAAAATCAACGACGAAAACACACCGCTGAGCGTGTAGTTGAGAACGAGCCGAGGTTCTCTCATGCGACGCGTCCTCTCGTCGAGGAAAAACATTTCTAAAGAAAAACATTCGAAGCAGCCACACGACGAGAATACGCAAATTAGCGGAGCGAGGATATCTTCGTTGAACGAAGGCGAACGGGCGACGTCGGCGCGGCGGGAACGAATTGAAAGGACGTCTCGTTTAATATTAACAAAGCGGTGGGTGGTGATTCGCGAGTGGATTCGCGTACGCAGCAGCCTTTGGAACCATAAGTGCGATCCATCAGATTGTGTACGGTTGCTTGACGAACGGAATGGAGACAGATTCAAACGGGCGGAAAACTGATCCGCCATTTGTCACGCGAATCGCGCTTGTTGCGCCTGTTTCCGCGCGTCCCAACTTGTGCGGCCATCGATGAACAACATTCGAAAAAATCACCGAAAAACGCAGGATACGATAAACGCAATTAAAACGTCTAAATAATCATATTTAGCAACAGAATGAGTTCAACAAATCGAGCAGAAGATTCATTTCAGACGAAATCAAGTCACTTCGCAACGCAGCTTGTTTACATTTTGTTTAGGAACAAAGGGTCACATTACGAAGTAATCTTCGTAGAAAATGATTGCAATTAATCCATAGAAATTTTACAATACAAATAATAGAATAATTCATTCGAGATGAAACAATTAAGTTCGATTTATTTTCCTACACTTTGTGTACGGTTTTAAAAAACGGAACGGCTCGAAATATCCTGCGATTCTTATTCCGATATATTCGTCGGACAGCACATTTTGATGTCATAAAAACTATTTTCGCGAAAAGTTGCGATCTTCCGAAGTTATTTAACAAAATACGTAGCCATAACCGTTCTCGAAATCATACATTGTACGCGAAACGATCGCTACGAATTTTCAGGCACCGACGCGAAATCGATGAAAAAAATCATTCTGAAAATGTTGCTCGGCACATTCGGCTAACAATAATTTATTGTTAACGAAACTAACTCCTCGTAAAAGTTTTCGTCCGATAAAAAGGATAAAGGCGACAAGAATTCTTTTCGATGTAATCGTATACAATTTTCTGCGTGCAAATCGGACGCATCTTTGCATTTTCTTCGATTAATTATTAAAGGCATTTCGGTCGATGATCGATCGATCTAAAAATTACAACTTTCGTGCCCGAACGCTCGCATAAACGGCGCATTGTGCGTTCGTTCGAGCACGCGGCTGTTCTACTCGCGCGGCGAGTGTCCTGGCCCGCCGCGTCGAATATTAACGATCCAAGGATCAGCCGTTAATTGCGGTTTATATAATTCCGCGCGCGGAACGGTAAAATATTATGTAATACGAGCAACCTATACCGCGCCCCGGCCGCGAAGCATATTCGACCGATTGCACTGTTTTACTTTCATTAATGTGTGTACCGTGGAAATCGAGTGCCGGCCCGATACTCCTGATAACCCGTTCATTTTACAAGCATCGCTGTGCGATCCCGGAAAATTAATCTGCTCGGCTTCCTCTGCTTCGGACTCTCTTACGTTATTACGGTTTTACCCACACGTGCTTCCTTCGCGATCCCCAGCCTCCATTTTAGACGATGAATCTTGCCGTCTTTTTTACCGTTTATCGAACTCTCATTTCATTCGTTCGTTTAATTCATCGGTCGGTTGGATTATTGCGAATCGTTTCCTTTCAGTGACGTTTTTGTTCGATAAGCATTCGATAATTATTCACTATGTGCTACGTAATTTTTCAGCGATGTTTACATTTATTGCATAATTGTTTGCTCTGGTTAATGTATATATTCTTTTAGCGATGTCGTTTTCCATTGGATAATTATTTGCTCTGGTTAATGTATATATTCTTTTAGCGATGTCGTTTTCCATTGGATAATTATTTGCTCTGGTTAATGTATATATTCTTTTAGCGATGTCGTTTTCCATTGGATAATTATTTGATATATAGCACATAGGTTTTTGTTAATATTCTTGTCTATTGAACAATTATTTAATCTATTCGACATACATTCTTCTCGTTGATAATTTTTCTCAACCCTTTGCACTCGAAGCCATTTTAATTGTAAACATAAATTAATTTTTTTGACTTATGGTATTTTTCCATTTTATATGACAATGTGCATTTTATGCGCATGAAATTTAGTCTTGTGACTCATACGGCAGTTAGACTCTTAATAATTTTTTATATCTAAACTTTGATAATATAAAAATTATCTTGGAACGTGATGTAACAATTTTTTAGCGGTGCCTCAGAGTCACCATTCGAGTGCAAAGGGTTAATAGAGAATTATTTACTCTATTCAACAGACATTCTTCAATGACAGTCTTGTCTAATGGAAAATTATTTACTTCGTTCGATATACGTTTCCATCGATGTTTCTCTCTATTGCAAAATTACTTACTCTAGTCAACATAAATGTTTGTTAACATTCTTGTGTATTCGAAAATTGTGTACTCTATTCAGTATACACTCTCATCGATTCTTTTGTCTAACGGAGAAATATTTATTGTGTTCAACATATATTCTCAATGATATTTTTAGCTATTGGAGAATTATTTACTTTATCGAAGATACATTCTCAATAATATTTTTAACTATTGGAAAATAATTTACTTTATTGAGCATACATCCGTAATAATATTTTTAGCTATTGGAAAATCGTTTATTTTATTCAACATACGTTCTCATTGCTATTCTTGTCAATCAGAAAATTATTTGCTCTATCCAACGTACATTCTCAATATTTTTGTGTATCAGAAAATAATTTACTCTATTCGACACACATTCTCATTCCCGTCTATCGGAAATCTGTGGTTTAAAAATCGCGTCTGCATTTATCTGAAACCATTATCTATTTATTTATCTCTAACCCATCGGCTAATCGATTCTGCGATTTTATTCCGGAACAGAAGCAACCCCCGATTCCCCCAACTTCTACAATAAATAATAAAATGTTAAATCCTGACAAAAATGCGTTCATCACAGGGAAACCGAAAATTTACCCAATTTTCCTTCCCTAATATTCACCCAATTTTAGCCGATATTTACAAACCCAACCCTTCCGTTTCGCGGATTCGCGCACGACGCCGGCAATAATAATTCGCGGCGCGGTCTTCGCAGCGCTTAGCAAAAAACCGCGCGCGGCACAAAAGCCGGGCGACAAAAAATCCCGGTTAAACGAGGTCTTTAGAGGAAACTGCGACGGAAATTCGAATTTGCCTAAGCAGTAGCAGCGTTACGGTGGTAACACGTCGCCGCCGCCGCCGCGTGTGCCAGAAAAAGCGGCCATTCAAATCGTCGCACCGGTTAAGTACAAAACGTGTTTCCGTTGCAGGTCGGGTGTCCCCCCTCGCCCCGCCGCCGTTCCAGCGGCAGCGAAAAGCCTAACGCGATGAATATACCACCACGGAATACGTTTCGGGAAAGCGTGTCGGGACAAAAAGCGCCCTTGCTCGCGTGCCTCGGAATTAGTCGTCGCGAGCGAGCGTCCCGGGGGATCCGTTAATCCTGTTCCCGGAACAGGCCGGCGAGCTTTTCCGGGAGTAGTCGGCGAAAGAGGGTGTGTGTATCCGTAAACGATAGGAAAATAAGATCAGAGAAGAGAGAAATAGAGAGGGGAGAAAAAGAGAGACAAAAAAAAAGATAGCGAAGATGTACAAGACTTACCCTAACGGGAGCGCGGAACAGCGGCGCGGCGACTCCGTGTGGATTGTTATGGTGATGCGTGTGGTTATGGTGCCCATGGTGATGGTGTCTGGTGTCAGGACCACCTCCTGCAGCCGCCTGTTCGGCCTGGACCGACATCGCCGCGCGGGCCTCTCGTTCCCGCTGCCGAAGCCGGTCCCGCTCCACGCTGTAACAGAAAACAATTGCCTGGTTAGCACCTCCGACTGGATCATTACCTTTCTATCATAGTTGTTCTCCATCTGCCAAGATCGTACGACCATCTACGGTTGTCTAATTTCATCTACAGGCTCGAACGGCCGTGGAAATCGTTGATCCTGATCTTGCCAGGTGCAGAGTCGCGCGATCGAACGAATCTTTATTTGGAAAGCGTGCGATTAGAGTGCGAGAGATCGTATTAATACTTGAACCGTCGTGGCAGTTATGCGTGTACGCGATTATTTTATCGAGAATATGGTGCGAATGTTAATTGGCGAGCGTCGCGCGAAAGAACGTTCGGAGAGAATGCAGCTTTAAAATGAGAGAGGACAGTTGAATGCGAATGAATTATTAACTGTTGCAATTGCGGTGTGTGTCAAGTGTGTCGAAAGACGTTATTTTCCAGTGGTTAAATATTTATGGTTTGTCGTTGTTTGGATTAAATTATTATAAGTATATAATTAATATAAATCCAATAATATGCGGGTTAAGTGCGTTTTTTTGGCGAACTCGGTGCTCAATTTTTGCGTGTCTAATTTTTCTGTAATGATAACTGAAATTTCGAGAATAGCGCAGATATAATTTCAACAAGAATTCTTGTCTTCTCTGTCGTCGCAGCATGAAATAAGTTGCTCCGATTTCGCGTCATTTTTGCAGACATTCTTGCGGCGATCGATAGAAATACGCTCGGTATAAATAGAAAAATAGTTTGAACTACTCGCAAGAAATACCCTAAGTTAGGTGAAAATATCTTGGAGAGGGTAGAGAGAGCTTAATTCCAGCCGCGCAGCTTTTCCACCGTAAATCCGTGAAAGGCGAACGACGTGCTCTCGCCGATTTCCGATCGGCGGAACACGTGACGTCATTCCCGTCGACTTTTGTGCAACCACGATAGGATGAAAATTATTACGATCCACGGTGTATACGTACACCTACACCGATGATTTCATCGCTTACTATTCGCATACTATACGCTGGTGGCTGCCGCTGCTGCTGGCAAGTTCTAGTGTGCCGGAGCATGAAGCAGCAAGCAAGAGCGGTTCCTGAACTTAGGAACTTCTGCAGTTTCGTGGACGTAACGACCTAGAAATCTTATCAACGAGGTACCGAGGAGACGCAAATAATTAACTCCCCGAGATCTTAATTCCGACCTTCTCATTTCAATCGACCGCCGTTCGCGAGGATTCTTACGCGCGGCCGTTTTCTTGCCTCGGTCGTTTGCTTATATTTTAAATAATTCGTGAACCTTATTTACGGTATTTTTGTTTCTATCGCGCATTTATTTCTCGCGAATCGATGACCCCCTTGGCGTCGCATTTTCAATCTGATAAGTTTTCTTATCTTGCTAGATGTAAAATGGTAGCAAGACAGCTGCGAAGATGCGCAGCTTTCGCTTAGCTTTTTACGCACGGTGAGACTTTCAGTAACTTTCAGTAACTTGAACTTTGACGGTGAGACGTATTCAAAGTTCAAGTTACTGAAAGTTACACAGTTTAATGTTTCAATTAGTTGGCAATGCTACGGTTCCAACGGTGAATGCGTAAATAAGCGAAAGCAAAGATTAACGGAAGTCAAAACGCGTTAGTTAGTTGATTTTCATTTTACGATACCACAAACTTCAGAGATCTCTTCGTCGAAAATGATCGAATAAATCGCATTATCGGAGCAAGTTTTGTAATCTACATGAATACTATCTTTTCACTCTCATGAGTCAATGCACACCGATCACCAATATTGCTCGTTAGGTTCGCTGTCAACCCTTCGCCGTACCATTATCTTTCTAGTTACGATGATTTTCTAATCAACTTTTCAATCGCAATAATTTCTAAGAAGAAAAAAGACAATTCATTGCTTTTATTTCTTGCCGACAAGAAATCAGAATTTTATTCAGACTAAAAAGAACGGAATAGCATTCATCTGTTACTTTATTCATGAGTTACTTAATGTATGAGTACTTCTCCGTCACGTGACAAACTCCTCAAAGTACGTCAAAGGGTTAAGAGTTCGATAGTTCCAGGATTGAACAAATTAAACGAAATTTGTTGTCATTATAATTACTAATTTGTTATCGATATCGAATCTCTTTTTCTACTATTATCATCGTAATGACATGCGACAGCCGGTCATCGCGGCGACTAATTTATCTGTATCTGCATCGTTCGTATCGATGGTTCTATCCGAGAGCATCGTCCGCGGTCGAACGGTTAAGGAGAGAAACGTGGTTTCCGCGAGATATCTCCTCCGGCGCCGCAAATATCAACCGCGGCCGCGTCCAGGCCGCGAGAGAGGCTGATCTCCGGCGACCAGGAAATCAGTCGTATCTAAACTCGTAAATGGGAAGAGACGCGTACGCGCTCGCTCGGAGGAACGAGGCGCGATGGTTCACCGCCGCGCCGCGCCGGTAATATCCGTCCGTCGCCGGCTCGTCGGCCAATGGCCCCGGACTCCATCGAACGCGAGAGCGCACGAATTCTGGCCCGCGACGCGGATTCGTCTGGTCTATCCTCTCTCTCCTCTCTCTCTCTCTCTCGCTCCTCTACTCGACGTTCACCGTCGAAAACCGGTGAATTTTCCAGGATCTCTCGCTCGTCCCGGTTATCGAGCCGTCCAATCTTCCCCGCGTCGCGATTCCTCTCGTCGATATTTCCGGCGAAACCGGGAAGGGAGAGAGCGCGAGAGAGAACGAGAGAGAGAGAGAGAGCGCGAACGAGAAAAGAGAGAGAGAGAGAGCGCGAACGAGAAAAGAGAGAGAGAGAGAGAGAGAGCGCGAACGAGAAAAGAGAGAGAGAGAGAGAAAGGGAGATGAAAAAAAAATGGACGAAACAACGAACGAAATGCTGCTGGCGGCGCGCGGTTTGCGAACAAACCGGCCCCGGTAATGAACGCGAACCGTGGATCGATCGCGACCGCGCCACGGAAATTATCGATTCTTTTCTGGTTTAATCTCGACTCCGCGCGGATATGCATTCACCGGCGCGACGTATTATCCGACGGCCGGGACCAGCGGATCGGAATCGCGTCGAATTCGGGGCGCAGCCGCGATCGCCTCGCTTTTCGGCTGCGGAGGCCGAAGGAGAGTACGCGATGGTTTTCGGATGCGACGGCGTCTATAAATCGCCGGGATGGCGCGGGTATAGCGAAGACCCGGACGAAATCGGCGATAATCTAGAAAATACGGCGAGCACGATCGTCGATCCGGCACAGGATACGCGGCCGCCGGAAACGCGGCTAAACAGGTGTTTGCGCCAGCTGCAGCTGCTCCGTGTGCCTCTCGTCGCCGATCTCTACTCTCTAGCCACTCTTCTCTCTGCATCTCTCTCTCTCTCTCTTTCTCTCTCTCTCTCTCGCTCTATTTGCGTCCAAACGTCGACGTCGGGTCTCCCGTTTCTAAGGGCGTTTCCTAAAACGTGCCAGTTATTCTCGGCGTGGTATCCTGCACGCAATGGAATTCCTCGGCTCGGGGAGTTCCTTTTGGTCGGATAAAGGCGATCGGGAAGTCGGAATGTAGATGTACGGAGACCGTGTCGATTTTAGACAGTTTCGGATGAATTTGGGCGGTTTGGGATGATTTTAGACGATTTTGGAGGAGCTTGGATGATTTTAGACAATTTTCGAAAATTTCGGGTGATTTTAGGCAATTTCAGTTGATTTTAGACGATTTCGGACGATTGTAGACGATCTCGAATGAGTTTTGGCGATCTCGGATGATTCTAGACGATTTCCAATGATTTTAGAGGATTGCAGATGATTTTAGACCATTTCAGATGACTTTAAGCGATTTCGGATAATTTTAGACGATTTCGAATGGTTTTAGGCGATTTCGGATGGTTCTAGGCGATTTTGAATGGTTTTAGGCGATTTCGGATGATTTTAGGCGATTTTGAAGGATCTCAAATGATTTCAAACAATTTTAGAAAATTTCGGGTGATTTTAGACAATTTCAGATGACTTCAGGTAATTTCGAACGATTTCAGATGATTTCAGATGATTTTAGGCGATCTCGGATGATTCTAGACGATTTCCAATGATTTTAGAGGATTGCACATGATTTTAGACAATTTAAGACGATTTTAAACCATTTCGGATAATTTTAGACGATTTCGAATGGTTTTTGGCGATTTCGGATGGTTTTTGGCGATTTCGGATGATTCTAGACGATTTCCAATGATATTAGGGGATTTCAGATGATTTTTGGAGAATTCAAGACGATTTTAGACAATTTCAAACGACTCTAGGCGATCTCGTACGATTTTAGTCGACCTCGTATAATTATAAACGATTTCGTATGATTTCAGTCGACTTCGGATGATTTTAGAAGATCTCCGAGACAGCTAAGCAGGTTGACAGATGGACGAACGGCTGGATAGAAGACCAGGAAGGCGGTTGGATTGACAGTCGTTTGAACGGACTGACAGACGGATCGATAGATTCTTACGTAGATAGATGGAGTGACAGATAAATCGGTAGAAATGTGCAGGTCCATCTAGAAATCCATTAGGCAGATAAAATCACGGCTAGTTAGATAGTCGGATAACCGGATGGGGGGAGAAAAAAGGGGGGGAGAGGCAGATGAACAAACAGATGCACGACTGTGCGAACAGCTAAATAAACGCTTAAAGCGACACCTAGAGAGATCGATAGATTAAACAGTGGAAGGCTAAATAAGTCGATTAATAGACAGATTGATGGACCGATGGATAAACAGACGGTTGGATGGGTCAACAGTTAAGTGAATAACTGGAGAAGCTAATTGAAAGATAGACAGATAAATAAATAGATTAACCGATAGAAGGATGAATAGATAGGAAAGCGCATCAACCGATTGTTAAATAGCTGGATACAGGGACAAATGAACGGACAGCTGGGTAAACCAGTAGATTAGATCGCGGCGAACGGACAGATAGTTGGATCGATAGACGCATATAGTTGGACAAGTATAGCTAGAAAATCACGTGGAGAAGGGAATAAATG